AACTCATACGAAGTGAAATGGGAAAAAACAGAAGAGAGGGGATGGGAGTATGAAATCAGAAGGTAAAGACAGGCAATGAAAGCAAGCCAGAGATGAGAAAAAAAAAAGAGTGAATTTAACATTACCAATAAAATGCATGTGAACAAATGCTTTTTCTGGTCTCAATTTTGGTGTTTTTTTTTTTTTTAATAGAAGGGATCTTTATGGGAATCTTTATGGGAACTTTCCCCCAAATCATTAGCATGCTATAGGAACTGTGTTCTGTACAAAGTATCTGTAGAATTGAACAATTCCTTAGAGAAAGTGAAACTGTACAGCAAGTCTTTGTTGGAAGAGGGGAAGGAAAGAAAGAAAAGGCAGGGGGGAAAAAATCAGTTTGACCACAAGAGTGTTCAGCGACGTACATAAATGTTCCCACCTCAACCCCAATTGTTAGCATTTCCCTCAACCATTTGCCTTTAAGGCTATCAGTGAGTTTGCACTAGTGAGAACAGAAGCATCAAATGGAAAATACAGACCCCCGTCTTTGGAGTTTGCACTAAAAAGCAGGTGCTGCACCCTGAAAGATGATGAAGCATTTTCCAAGACATTCCCATGATCTGGGGAGGAAAGAGTTTTTCTGTTTTGGTTTCAAAAATTAAAAGGAGCAACCCCAGCAAGGCTTCTTAAAATTTGTTCCCTTCAGAAGAAAACCCAACAGCAATACCCTTTCAGTGCTGCTTATTTTCAGTAAGTGATTCTGCTCTCGAATATACCTTTTAAAATGTACAACACTTTCCTATCAGCAGCGCATGCTGAACCCAGTGAACCCTTCAGTCACAACGAAGGCCAGCTTTCTCTGCAAGGTTAGCTTGTGTGAGGAATGTGCAGGAGGGTCAAAACCTGAAATTCAAGCTGGGCTTTTTCTGCCTCATACAACGGTAAAATGTTTCTGCAGTGACAGAACACAGTTGGTAAATCCTGTTGATGTGTGTCAGGACAGAATACAGTTATTTTCCTATCCTAAGCACTCAGCAAGGATTGAGCCCCCTGAAAAAACATCCAGTTGGCCAAACGTTCTTAAGGTAACAAAATAAGCATAATCAACCTGGAGTGTTTTCCTTGTTTATACTTTGTTTTATGATCCATTAGGCTACTCTCTAGTTCCCTCTTCCAACCAGGAGAGCTAGAAAAATAGAAATGAAAACTGAGATCATGATACACTCTTTTGGTTCCAATAGGTGGGGCTTTAGGAAAGATTGCCCCCACCTATGTCACGTTGGCCCTCTGTGGGTTTCAGGAGCCCACCCAGGCAGAGAAGCTTGCAAGACCTGTGCCTGAGATTACAATATATTCTTCAATTATAGAACAATGCTGACAATAGCATTTAGTCAGGAAAATGAGAAGGAATCGTTCTGAAGATACATAGAGGATATGTATGGGGGGGGCTAACTAAATAAAAGAAGTGATTTTTGTTCACCAGTCTTTTGAGCAGTACAGCAGGCTAACAGAAGGGTTACAGGATGGTGTGATATTTCCCTCCACAGATGTCACCGAGGGACTACTGCACATGATTTTAGATAAATCTCTTGAATAAATGTACCACCATATACATTAATGAGCAAAAAATTCTGGCAGAATGTCTGTCCCTGGGGCTCCAGTTCCCAGGTAGGAAGCTCGTCTCTGTGCTGTTGTAAAAGCTCTCTTAGCAGAATGCAGAGAAGTTGATGGTATACTTGCCCTCAGTTCACAATTTTCCATTTCAGACTTGCTGTCTCTGTCTTGGTTTCGGTCTATTTACTCGGAGCCATTTCTTAACAATGTCTAATTTCCTCAAGGAATCCCTCTGAGTCCCCTCTCTTAGAAATGCTGCCATATCTTTTTTTTTAATCATTGAAAGGCACAAATATCCTTCCTGAGCTCTCTTGCCATCCAGCCTGATTATATACATAGATTTGAGTTTCCATACATTTTCTGCACAGTAGGAGTTCCCCAAATGCAGCCTCTGGGGATATAAAGTGTGGCCCCAACTGCAACTCACCAGGATGAAAACAAAGCCGATCAGGTACTGTTTTTATTGTTAATGAGCCTAACCAGCAGGCAATTATTACTTAGTCCGGAAGATATAAGCTGTTGGAATCATAGGGCATTCTTTTTTTTTTTGATAGCAATGCACATTCAAATTAGAAGTAGCCCTCTGGCATCTGGCATCTTGCCAGCGCCCGACCATCGGTGTCATAACATTTGAACATCTTGAACATACAGAATGGCTTTTGTTGCTTTTTTCACAGCATTCCCTTCTCCTTGCACTCCCCGCTCCCTTGACTATCAAGAGTGGACAACTAGGTTTAATTAACTTCGGATTAAGCCTCTTACTGAACATGAAAGAAACCAGTCCTGTTTCTTTCTCACTTGATGGTGAGGTACAAGTCAGACATGCACTGGTCTCCTTCTAATGAAGAAAAACCTCAACCCTTCTTCATGCAAATTAAAGAGTAGACATGAGCTCTGGAACAAGATCCATAAAGAGACAAGTTTCTGGGGAGGATGCATGTTACTGGTTTGTTGAACTATCACTGACAATTGTGAATACCCCATTTGCAGTCACAGTGACTCTGAAGTATTTAACTGCAGAGGCTCCCAGGACCCAGCCGGGAGGCTCTCCTGTGAGGAGCCCACAGCAGTTTGCCTCACCTGCCTAGTAATCAGTTTCCAATCTAACCCCTCCCCTGAGTTTAAGTTACGAACCTCAGTATCTGTGTGGCAGACTTGACAGCAATTAACATTACTCAGCTGCCAGCTGGGTTTTAACATCTCCCTTCCAAGTGATCTTGTTACGTAGGTTTTAAAAACAACATGACAGAGCGTTGTTCTGTGTTGAGGAGCTTGATCCTGCACCTCTGAAGTCAGAGAGAGTTTTGCTATTGATTTTAGGGGAAGCAGTCTACCACCTATAAATAAAAACAATGGCAGAGCAAGGTTAAACAATTGTAAGCTGTTGTTTGGAGTCTGAGGCTTGGTTTTGTTTCCTTTGTTAATCTCCTCGCTCACTGAAGTTCATAGAAGGCACTACTGAGAGTTTATCCTTATTTATTCTGGTTGTTTAGTTGTGCATGTCATATCCAGGCATGGGTATGAAACGCTGTGCAGCATTCCTTGACTCTAGTACGGCAATATTCAGGCTCTAAAAATCAAGGGGAGTCTATTAAGTCAGACTCCCATCAGTTTAAACCTAGCCAACAACTCCTTAGCCCACCTGTCTCGATGGCTCCGCTCTCACACTCAGGACCATTACTAGGGAAGCAGGATCAGGCTAAGAGTGGCCTTACAGGGCCCTAAAACAAACACTGTCTGCATAATGGGACTCGCTGACTGTTAAGAGATGTAAACATTTTTTCTTCTCGTCCCCACCTGAAAGAGGATAGAGCAAGTTATTTTTCCACGAAGACTAGCGATGGAAAAACAAGTTTGCGTGTGAAGACTTCTCCCCTTCCTAGCCAGCCCCATCTCCGGCCCGCGCAGGGCAGTCTCGCCGGAAAGCAGCGCGGCTGGCGGGCTGAGGCCTCTCCTCTGCCTCCGGGCAGTCGCACCTCCTCTCCGCGCCTGGGACAGGACAGGTCGGAAACGCGTTACTAGCCAGGTGAGGCAAACTACAGTGGGATCCTCTGGTAACCTTCTCCTGGCTGGCTTCGCTGAGCCTCGCCAGTTAGATACTTCAGTCACTGCCATTTCGCATGGGGTATTTACAATGGGGCAGCTCTCGCTCCCGGCACAGCTCTCCTCATGCTCGACTCACACCTCGGGGGCTACCCCTAAGCTTCCCGTTTTCTCTCTCCAAGACGGATAACGTACTCCAGTACCGCGCGCTGCTTGTTTACGTGTAACGCGTGCCGCCTGTTTTTAGAGCTCTCATCACTCATAAACAAGCGGGCAGGCGTTTGCTCAGCGATCCACGCTTTCTCTGAGGTCACGGAGCCCCCCCGCACCGAAACCGCCGCCCCGGCGGCTCCCCAGCCCTCGGCGGAGGT